ACATATCTTTATAACAATTAGGGAATCCACAATACAGAAAGATGAATAAGGCCTCCAGCCTGGGTGCGGTGGCTCAAGCCTAGGGTGACCAGATGTCCTGCATTTGGCGGTACAGTTTCAATTTTTAAAAATTTGTCCCGCATCCCATGGTGTTTTAAAAAGTCCTGATTTTTGGAAAGAATGCATGAATTGGCGGGAGAACAGTAAGGGAATATACGGTTTTCGGCTGCCATGTGGCTATTTCGCCAGGATACGAGTTTTATATTATTTTTGTTAATTTTATAATGTTAAACTGTAATAATAACAAATAATTGTTGAGAAGTGATTATTGAGAACTGCTTATCAAAGTTTGCATTGTTGTCAAGCCCCGCCCCTGCCCCACCCCCCTGTCAATGGTGTCCTGCTTTACCAATGTTAAAATCTGGTCACCTTACTCAAGCCTGTCATCCCAGCACTCTGGGACTCCAAGGCGGGAGGATCACTTGAGCTCAAGAATTCAAGACCAGCTTGAGCAACAGTGAGACCCCCATCTCTATTAAAAATAGGAGAAAAACATTATCCAGACATGGTGGCCTATGCCTGTAGTTGAGCTACTTGGGAGGCCGAGGCAGGAGGATCACAGGAGCTCAGGAATCTGATGCTGCAGTGATAATGCCACTGCACTCTAGACCGGGTAACAGGGCAAGATTCTGTCTCAAAAAAAGAATGGGAAAATAAGTGCTCCAGGGGAAAACCAGGTTAATGCCCTGGAGTAGGGTTCACATCCAGGATTAATAGTATCTGGCTCTTTTGCTAAAGTTTAGCATATCAGCTGAGGAAATTAAACGTTCCAAGGAAAGAGATTCACAGACACTCCTGACCTTGAAGTTTGGAGTCCAACACTCCTGTGTGCTCAGATACCTACAAGACCCCAACCCAGCTCAGATCTACTCCAGCAGAGTTTGCTGGTCTAGTGACAACATTCAAGACCCAGAGAAATTCCTATAACCCCTTCACACAGCTTTTGTTTTGAACTCCCAGTAAGTAGATGTTAGAAAAATATCAAGATTCTCTTTTCACCAAGGCACATCTCTCTACAGTCTTTGTTCTTCATCTAATATATAAATACCCTAGAGAAATACAGAAAAAAAGATGAGGTTTTGTTTTGTTTTTAATTTTGAGACAGTCTTACTTTGTCACCTTTGGTAGAGCGCCATGGCCTCATAGCTCACAGAAACCTCCAACTCCTGGACTCTGGCGATCCTCTTGCCTCAGCCTCCTGAGGACCTGGGACTATAGGTGCCCACCATGACACTGACTAATTTTCCTATTTTTAGTAGAGACGGGGTCTCACTCTGCTTAGGCTGGTCCCAAACTCCTGAGCTCAAGGAATCCACCTGCCTCCGCCTCCCAGAGTGCTGGATTAGAGGTGTGAACCACCACAACAGGCTAAAAATGAGGTTTTTAATGGGAATTTCAAGTCAAATCAACTTCTTAAAGTCACAGTGAGGATAATTTACCCTGAGCTCTTACAGGGCTGAGACCCTGCAGTTTTCATTGCTTTGCTAAGCTCAGCCTCGCTGCTGTCAGGGAAGTATTTAAGATTAATATGGATGATCCAAAGTGCAAAAAATCACTAAGTTAAATTAGATCAACTAAGAGTGATTTAGGGTTACTAAAGACTCATAGCCATTTGAACCAAGTTTTTTTTCAATGTCTTTCTCTATAAAAAAAGCACTTGTGACACTTACATGAATTAATATGAAAATAATAACTCAAATATGGGTTATTTAGAAGACTGGTTAAATAACCAGTCTTTAATGTTGTAAATAATAGAACTTATATAGAAGCTTATATAATTCATAAGCTAAGGCTTTAGAGTATGCCCAGTACACAAGGAAAACAATGAAGAAATCACATAAAATTGGAAATATATGAGGATTAATCTAGTTAGGATGGATGTGTTGTTTAATTTTGGGTAACAACATAACTGCTATGTTTCTTAAATGCTAAGTAACTCTTATATCATCAAGCATGGCCTCCCATTTAGTCTCAAAGGTAGATATCACTTACGATTTAACCGTGTGTCCTGTGAAATTAAATTGGGAAAGAAAGAGTCACCTGCTTAGGAGCATCCAAAAAAGCATCCCAAAGGAGTCAGTGGTCAACTACTCTTAGCATTCTTTGGGAGTGATGACATGCTAGCCACAGATCAATATTTCCTACAGATATTTTTCTTGTGTTGAGAAAGATGTACACCGATCTTACCTAGATGTGTTAAAAATTCCAATCCCTCCACCACTGACTCAACTTGTTCACCATCAACGCTCACTGAATAAAATTAGCATTACAATTTGCTTGCCTTAAAGCTCTACCTACTGGTCTGAATATTACAACCTGCATCCTTCATTGGAACTTAATGAAACAATGTAATGATTTACAAATCCTGTACAGGGTTAGATGATAGGAGGTAGGCTCACTCTTTTTTGAGCTGACAACATGAATTTCCTAAACCTGCAAAGCTGAGGTCCTAAACCACAGTGAATTCACCAAGGTAAAGGCATGTTTGAGAAGATCCCTGACACCTCCTGTCCTAGAGGTAATTCCAGTTCTAGAAACTTCTGCACATAGATAATGGGAGCTTCATTATGGATACACAGCTTTGGGCACCTCTTATGCAGCACGTACTTAATGACTGAATTTATGTATCTTGCCATTGGAATGCTTTCATCAAGATTCTTAATTACAAAATGCAAGTGCAAGTTATAGGAACATGTTTACTTGGACAAAGTATGGTTCATAAGCAGTTAGCTACAAAAGCAAAGCATTCAGAAAGTCAAAAAACTTTGGGGTTAACTTTGCAATAAAAAAAATCAGACAGGAACTGAGGTAAAGCTATTTTATGGATCTTGTGTATATTATTCAATGAGAATATACAAAGAGTTCCTTACAGAGATGTTATTATGTTTCATTATAGGGTAAGCTGCACTGGGGATAATCAGAATATGCTATTATACCTCTTCAAAACATAATTTTTTAGAATAATGCCCATAGCTCAGAGGCCAGGGCACTGTCCAGGCTGGCGGGTTTGAACTCAGCCCGGCCTGCTAAACAATAATGACAATTGCAACAACAACAAGAATAGCCAGCATAATGGCCGGTGCCTGTAGTTTCAGCTACTTGGGAAGGCTGAGGCGAGAGAATCACTTAAGTCCAAGAGTTTGAGGTTGCTGTGAGCTGGGACGCCACAGCACTCTACCAAGGGCAAAATAGAGACTGTCTCAAAAACAAAACAAAATAAAACAAAAAAAAGCCCCTAAATCTATAAATGCATCTGGCCCCGAGGGTTTCAGGCAAGATGTTATGAGCCTGTACATTTTTTAATTTACATAATCAAGGAAACTCATCAATTCTTTAGTTAGGAAAACTTCTTTAAAATTTCTAAATATTCCACAATGTGGGATGCCAAATTGACAGGCAGAATAACGTAGAGAGAGCACAAAGCATCGAATCAGAGATGACACCAAATCGTGACCTCACTGTCACGATAAGTATATGAAACATGCCAAATCACCGTACCATTTGGATCTTCAGTTTTGTTTTTTTTTTCATTTGCTAAAGGGGTCTTGTAGAGGCTTAAATGAGATAATATAGGAGGTAATATATGAGGTAATAACCTTAGCACCAGATTATAGCAGCTGTTGTTGTGACAATTATTAATGCTATCAGACAGCATGCTAACTCTTCTGACCCCCTCCGTAGCAGCAGGAAAGGAAATGGTGGTGTTAATATCTGAAGGCTCACTGTGCTTACGGCTTTTCTATTTCAAACTTTAAAAATTGTGATACATCAAAACAAATATACATTGAATCATATTCCAAACCAATGAGATTATTCATATTATGTTAAAAGTTAAATGAAACATTTGGATGACCACACAAGATAGCTGATAGTTTTAATAATTTACTAGTAAGTATACATTATTTATTTCATACTAATTTTTTACAGTTGTCTTTACCTGTGAAGAATAGGTATGACCATCTGAACCACAAACGGGACTGGCATAGACCACTGGGCACTGCTTGCAGGTGGATGACAGGGGACCCCTCCCCTGCTTATGGCCTGCTCCTGACTCCTTCATACTGTGAAAATAATAAAACAAGCATACTTAGTACATTTATTTTAAAATAAACATTTATATTAGAACATTCCTTTCCCCCACTGTCATTCCAACTCGTGGTGATTAGAGTCAATAAAACTTTATTCTCATTTTCAAGGTATTAATGCAGTGTTCTGTATTACTCTTTTGTTTCATATTTCAAGGTCTGCCTCTAAGAAAACAGGAATATATCCCTTAAATACATCCTGCTTAGTCACAGACAGACTATAGCTATATTTCATTACATGGACCCTTTTCTTGTAATTTACACTTGTGAAATGTGTATTTGGTAGCCCCAGAAACAGAGGCAACATTTGATCAGAAATAGAAGATTTACATATCAGGCACCTTCTTAAGATTCTTCCTCTTATTTCATCAGTAACAGTATCAAAAACCAGACACCTAATTTACTGAATGCCTAAAAACAAGAGCAGCTTACTTCTAAAACAGCAACAAAGAACTACAGTTTTCTGGCGTCTTCCAATATTTAGAGAGCAAATTACTAGGCTTCATGTTAGCAATTCCCTTTTATTATGTAGAAGTATCTCAAAATAGATCCATTTGGCTTTGATGTAGAATAACTTGGGAAAACCCATGCTCTGTCACTACCTACACTTGGAATTGTTTCCCAACTTTGATTAAACTGCTTTATTCTTCTATTTGTGTAAACAATTCAAATTGAGATGGGAAAAGGGGTTTAAAAACAATGAAAAAAGCAACAAGGAGTCTGTAACAGAAGCATTCAATGTTTAGAAGTCCTCTCATAAATCAACAGTAATTCATTATAATTATGATGGAGAGTAATTTGATGTCTATGTCAGAATGAAGACAGATATTTTGCAAGAAACACTGTTTTCCTTATAGCTTTTAATTTTCTTTTAATGACCAAAAACCAGTCTCAAAAGACCATTAAGAAGCATTGTAAGGACTTTCAGTACAGGGACAGAAGTCCAAGTATATGTTTCAAATTTTGATAAAATTTGGATGGGCGTTACAACATCTATTATCTGTGCCTCTCAGAAAAGATTTTAATGAAGACTCCCATAGTTCTAAACATTTTCTTTTATTTCAATACCGTACCTTCTGCCAAAGGCTCACATCAAAACCTTGACTTGCTATAGAGTTCATCTCATAAGAGACATAATGGGAAAAAATTACTATGAGTGTTTTTCTGATTAAATAATTGGTAAAAAAAAAAAAAAAACTTAATGGGAATTTAAACAATGACTTCGAAATCTGAAAATTACCCTGTACCACTTCAGGAGTTATAAATTACAAAACAGTAGCAGAAAAAATTCAGAAATTAAAACATTCTACTTATGTTGTAATTTCACTATGTGGTATCAAAACAAGGCATAGAATATGCAGAATTATTTGCTCTTCACAAAGATTAAGAGACTGTACCACTAAGTTTGGGCTTCTAATACATGAAAATATTTTATTAGAACAAACTAGAATTGTACTAGAAATGGGATGTGTACATTCTTTTTGCCTATTTTTCCTGGGATGTGTTTGCCAACATAATTGTACAATGACAGTTCTGATGGCCATTCCAGAAAAAGAGTTCTTAGATTGCCTGAAGGGTGGCCTGGATCCTGGTGTCAGCACACAGCTTCCCACGGCGAGGACCTCGAAGGTGGCTGTAGTGGTGTTTGGCAGTGAGGTAGGAGAACCTTTTATACAAGTTTGCGAGCTTAATTGTTTGACTTCCTATACACACAACGGTACATCTCCTTTTTCTTGATGTCATTATTTTCTCCTAATATACCATATAACTTATAAATTCTTAATGAAATATGGAAACTAAACATTATTAGATGAATTTTCTTAATTAATGTAAATTTTTACAACTTCTTAGAAAACCATTCACATTGAATTCCAAGAGTAAATAGAAGTGAAATCTTACACAATTTGAAGATTTATTAAAATTCTTGAGATTTAAATGAGCTCTTAAAAAGTGAACTTTCATTGTACTTTTAGTAAGTTTTGAGGTTAAAAAAAGTTTAGTTATTGTTTTTCTCTTTAGATTCAACATTGCTGAACATTAAATAAGTAAACATTTTGGATCCCTAAAGTAATTATCAATGAAATGGCATTTTTTAAATGCTGGTCAGGGTTTCCTGAGGTCAATACAACCATTATTGTAAGATTGTGTGTATTTGCATCAACACTTTAATTAGGAGTTGATGTTAAACTAAACAATTTCCTAAACAAAATGACTGCAATTTATCTGACTACATTTATTCAAGATGAATTGAATATTAGATGAAAATATATTAGCCAGAATTCATGTTTTAATAAATGCTACTCATACCACATATACAGACAACAGTGAATTATGCATGTTTTACCATATTTAATAGATCTAAATCAAAGCACTTAATATTTCGTCATCATAATACAGTTTCTGTAAAACAGATGTTATATTTAACAAAATAGATTAGAAAATCTGAGACTAACATTGTTTCTTTTTTTGAGTCTCAATTTTATTTTATGTTATTTTATTGTCTATAAATCTGAGCCTAACATTGTTTCTTTTTTTGAGTCTCAATTTTATTTTATGTCATTTTATTGTCTATTTTAATTTTTTATTTTTAATTATTGTAAATACATAATAAATATATTTATTTACCAGGCACATTTGACATTTTGATACAGGCATACGATATGTATTAATCAATCAGGATAATTGGGGTACTATCACTTCAGGCATTTATTATTTCTTTGTGTTAGGAACATCCAAATTACACTCTCCATTAAAGTATACCATAACTTATTGATGACAGTCACTATTTTCTGCTCAATATTATTCACTCTATCTAATTCTATTTTTGTATGCATTAATCATTCTCACTTTATCCCCCCTCCCCCACTACCCTTTCCAGCCTCTGGTAGTTGTAATTCTACTCTCTGTCACCATGAGATCAATTGTTTTAATATTTAACTTCTATATATGAGTGAGAACCTGTGAGGTTTGTGTGTAAATTGAAATATGAAATAATAAATTAAATAGGTTGTATGTGTTCTTAAATCATCTCAGATTGGCTAATTCACACATGAATAAAATCAACCCTTTACTTCATTTTCTGTATAAAAGCAAGTTACATTTAAATACATAAAGAGCAACTTGAAATGAGCTGGAGACCAGTATCCTAAGTGAAGTATCTCAGGAATTGGAAAACAGATACCACATGTGCTCACGTTTAAGCGGGGGTTAAACAGTGGATAGAGACGGTCATAAAGAACTATGATGGAGAACTATGAAGGGCAGAAGGGAATGGGGTAAGGGATGAAATCTACATGTCGAGGACAATTTACCCCATGCTGGTGACAGGCACACTGGAAGCCCTGACTTCAGAATGATACAGTTTGTCCACATAACAAGAAAAAGACTCCTTAAAGGTTTGGAAATTTAAAAAATTATGGATAGAGGGACACAATGGCAGAGCAGAAGTAGCCCATGTGTGCTGCTCTCAAGGAGAGGACCCAAAGTTACAAGTGGATGCCCTGTGTGAAGGGGTCTTCTCAGAGACCGTGCACCTTGGGAAAAGTGGGGGCCCATGGGGTCTTCTCAGACACGGTGCACCCTTGGAAAAGTGGGGTCCATGGGGTCTTCTCAAAGGCCGTGCACCCAGGGAGAAGTGGGGGCCCATGCCGAATGGAGGAGAAGCTGATTAGGCCAGCAGAGCAGGAATCCAGTGGCTCTCCTTCTGGGTTTGTCGTAACTGACATTATTCTGTGTTCTGAGGTCCACAGGGCCAGGTCTATATAGGGTACGGCTTTGTGTCAGCCATATATGCAGCATGCCAGCTAGGGCAGAGAGTGAGCCTGGAGAGAAAATGCTCCCATATCCTTTGTGAGCAGGAGATGAATGCCCTTTGCCCATCAGAAGATTTGAGCTGAATGACACCCACAGACACTCTCCTCCTTAGTAGCCCTGTGGTAACTAGCTTTGTCATAAAGACCGGGAGAGCCCCAGCTGCCAGGGTTCCAATCACACATCCCCAACCCTACAACATGAAGTTGCCACTTATCCCTGTGGCCCTGCTCCTATGGGTCCCATGTGGCTGCTGGACCCTGGTTTCTTCTCCAGTAGCTGCCTGGTGGGACACCCACATGAATGCAGATGGAGTAAACGGCTACATCCCTGATACCTATGACCACTACCTAGATAGCCTCACACAACAGTCACTGTTGCTACCATGGGAAGACCCAGGCAGAACAATGCCAGCCTCCATAGTCACCCAGACCTGGACCTGAGCCTCCCACAGCAGCCTGGAGAGCACTCCACTACTCTGCACACAGGTCATCCAGTCCTGGCTTGGACTGTGATATCACATGGGAATGGACAACACAGACCACCACATTCCAGGTCAGTCTTACAGAGCAGACCACGAAAGCACCATCTAAGCACCTCTCCTTCTTCTGAGTAGGACAGTTCCCAGCAAAGAAGAACAGGTGCATGGTAAACCTATCTTCCCAGACTTACTGGGAGGTTTATGTCGATAAGAAACCAGCAAAGCTCTGTTAACATGGAAAAACAAGCTAGTTTGATATCCCCAAGAGATCATAATGCATCTCTAGCAATGAACCCTTAACTAAAAGAAAACTGTCAAAATGTCACAGTGGAATTTAGAATGTGGATGACAAATAAGATGAATGAGATAAAGAAGTTGAAACCCAACATAGGCCAAAACAATTCAGGACACCAATTAAAAAAATTTAAAAAAGTCACTAAGAGTTAGACAACATAAGAAAGATATAACATAATTCAAGGAAATGAATGCCATGTAGGTAATTGTAAATATAGCCAAAAGCTTCAGCAACAAATTAGACAAAAACAGAACCAATCTCAAAGCCTGAAGACAAGCCTTTCAAACAAACCCAATCAGTTAAAGAAATAGGAAAAAGAATAAATAAAAATGAACAATCACTCAGAGAAACGTGGGACTCTGTGAAGCAAACCAAGATATAAATTATGGG